GTGTGAACAGTACCGTTTTTTTTTTCCAAATCTGACCTGGTCGTCTTTCACTAGTGGATACGAATTGTATCTGTATCCGATGCGTCCACTGTATGAACTCTCATCCACACATCCGATGTAGACGCCAAGAAAAGCCAAATATGTGCACAGCGCAGGCGGTGAAGAATGCTTGTGAGAGTACTGACAATCAAATCTGAATTGGGCATCACACCCCGTAATGTGAACGTAACCTTAGTTGCATAAGTGAGGTGAAAAATAGTAAGAGTTCTCAGTATAATTCAGTGCAGTTCTACATACACCACTGACAACTATAACCACAATAAACACAATCGAATTAACATTTCTGTAAGACTGTCAATCAAAACAGTGCATCACTATATGGTATTTATGTTAGGTGGGATTTCTACTTGTTCCCATTTGTGCGTTAGGTTATGGAAGTTCATCTTATGAAGCGGACAGTGAGTGGACAACTAAGCCTGCCATAGACTTTGATGTTGGCTAGTATAACCTTACTCTGTTGAGTCCTGTACGCCAGGTTGGAGTTGGGATAAAAGAGTAAGAATCGGGAAGAGTGACGGCTGAAGGCGAAGCCTCGCCTCCTCAGGTGGACACTGAAGGTCACTAGCTGCCTCTCGGAGCTCCTCAAGGAGGAAGAGTTGGAGCGTGGAGTAGTGGTGGAAGAAGGCGTGGGGGGACATGCCATATTTAGTCCCACCCTCACTGCTGGGCCTCTGACCGAGCATCCGTGAGCAAAGAGAACCTGGTGAACACATCTCGCATGAGTAGGCCTACAGTCACGCACCAGCCAGATGAAGAGTAATGTGCTTGCATCCTACTGTAAAGCTGCAAAGCTGCATTCCTCATGGCCCAGCAGGGAGAACTAAGCAGAGTGAGAGCCAAAATGGCCACACTGGGTGCAAACTTAAGAATGGCGACACCCAAGCTTGATCCACGTACCAGAGCCTGTAGCGTGTGAACAGCACACACCTGAGATGGACAAATGGAGCGTTACACACATCTGACGCAATTCGGATCTCACAAATGATTTGTCTTTTCATCTCAGGTCAGAGTGGGGCACATGGCACAGAAGCACTTCCAGTGTACTCGGTATGTCCCAGCACTCTTCCAACAACAATTCCAACAGCAACGGTATAGCCAGGTTGACCTGCATGAGGTAGAGGCTCCTCTGCGCTCCTCCTCCTCTGGCGTGATGTAGCATGGAGATAAAGCGGGCGGCTTTCGTCCTCACCTGTTGGCTTTGGTCCTGCAGCAAGTACAGGCCTGTGTTCAGCAATCTGCAAGAGATACAGTTACCATTTGCTTCAAAGCAGCGTTTTCGTATTTGTGAAAGACTGTGTGGACATCTTCGAACCGTACTTGATCAAGAGAGTTGGAGGAATGAGATTGTGGCTTGTTAGAGGAAGGCCAGCCACACACAGCGCTTCAGCACAAGATATTCTCAGAACTTCAGCAGCATCGGGGGACCGGTGAGTCTCCATTACACCACACCAGCGTTGGATTAAAGAATCCTGAGAACTTGTTTTGAAGAAAAAAAAAAAAAAGAAATTTCTAAAGATTGGAGAATGAAGTGAGAGCTAAGCAGGGAGACAATGAAAGGTGTAAAATAGGATTCTCACCACTGGGAAAGCAGGAGGCTTGCACCATGCAGAGCTTGGGACAAGAACTCCGACCCGCCTCTCTGATCCTCAAGGTCTCTCAATAACAAATCCAGACACTCCAGGAGAACAGACTCCTCAAGTGGGACTTGTGGAGGCGGAGGATCCTCGGTGGCCATCACTCCGACGAAGGCTGCAACGTGGGCCCTGCGGTACTCCGCAATGGGGCTCAACAGTGCCTCCCTCAGACCGGACTGCAAATAAAGAGCACCGAATTAAAACAGGCTTCATCTTGTCATATATGCTTTATGCTTGAATGATACAAAAATAAGCAGTGTTTGTGTGTACACTTTTCGTTATGTGGTATATATATTTTGAGCTTTTGCAGGCCCGGGGGAGGTGCTCTTCACTACACATTATGCGGCAAGACAGACTTTGAACAGTTTTCAGCCTGTAACTCACCTGCAGCACACTCTGGATCAATTCTTTAAAGTGGGTGTTCAATGAAGCATGGTCCTCCACCACCCATGTGATCAATGTCAGCCTCAAATCACAGCTCGCCGTTCTAAAAGTTTCCAAAAGGTCAGGCGCCCACTTGGGTTCGGTACCGAGTAACTGGATGGCTCGTTGGTGAAAGGAAAACAAGCCAACCTGAAATGAAGGAAACAGGCGACAGTGTCACTTGTGAATAGATACTGTTTATGTAGACTATACTGTATAAATATTCCTCACCAACCTTTTGTGTGTGTGTGTATTGGGGTCTTTTTCAGAAGAATTCGTGCCATTTTGGGAGTACAGTCGACCCTCACATACTTGCAGTTGGACACCCATAGATGTGCAATTTCCCTGATTTATTTTCAAAGGTGTTGTTAGGGGTTGGTTGTTCCCATTTTTTTCTACCCCCTCCTTTTTTTCCCCACTATTCTTTGAGGAAAATGTGTACTGAATACATAAGCATTTTCTGAAGGTTAAAAACAAAAAAAAAAGAAAATCCCCTCCCAAAGCATTTTAATGGCCTTCGTGAATCACGTATGGCCCACAGGAAGCAATTACATCATTTTCTTTCTTAAAATCGTTTAGTTTCAAATGTATGCAACCTTTATTTATATTCTATTCGATTGTCTTACTAAATAACTGGTTCATTTATTTATTGTAAACAACTCAATGATAACCAAAATTAGTAAAATAAACCAAGCTTTTATGTAAATGTAGCCGTTTTATTTCATTAAATAACTCATGAATCTATACTAATTATCAACAGAATTTCCATTGAGCTGAAGCCTCAAGATTTGCTTGACATCCTGCACACATGATGGTTTGCACCCGCACAAACCTTTTGTGGTTAAACTCACCATTTTTGTGACTATGGAGGTCGGAGGTACTGTAATACATTATTTATTTACATTTTACATTCTGAACGACTAATCCATTATGGTTTCTTCTACAGCAGCAAGCTAGCAATAAACCCCAAACACATGACAACATCATCCATAATGTGTGTTTAAAAACACATCACTACGGTATCACACACCTGAAGCCCCTGCTTGGGTGTGCGAAGCTCACGTATGAGAACGTCAAAGAGCGTGGAGAGAAAAGTCTCGCAGCAAAATCTTCTCAGTGACTCCACAACGGTAACATATGCTGCTCTCACCAGCGGGCAGCGCTGAATATCTGTGGCAAGCCACAGCGATGCCTCCACAGCGCTCACCGCTGCATGAAGCTCTGCTGCAGGCACACTGCAAAGACAAGACGAGTCAGCAAGTCAAAGCCTGAAAGGTCTGGTCAATGAATCAGGCCAAATTTAATGACTCACCAGTCTTTGCCGAGAGTTCTGTCAAGCAGAGCTTTAATGTGCAGCAGTTGCCCGTGAAGCCAGTTGTGACAGCAGCGCTCCGGTGTGCGGGGCAACCGGGCCGTCAGATTGATGAGGATGTTCACATACTCTGACGGGGGAGTCATGGCGACCAGTGCCTTGGAGGCCATCACTCTCACACTGTAAATGGGACTGGCAGAGAGCTGGAATAAAGGAGGCAGGAAGTCGGCCAAGGTTCTGAACAGATAAAATGAGAGAAAACAGTAAGTTGCCTCACAAAATAATGTTGAAGATTTGTGTTGACCGAATCAACACAAACACAGCGAGTGAAGCCTAAAGTAACACTATTAAAAACGTTTGGTGGAGAAAAGATACCAATTGCTATTGCGAAGCCACGTTTGATAAGTGTGAGGGAGAGAAAAGGGGAGACAGAGAGATAGTGATAGAGAGAGCGAGACACATCCCATGTGTAAACTAGCATCTTCTACATTCATTCAGAAATGTGAGAATAAGTGTGAGGGAGAGAAAAGGGGAGACAGAGAGATAGCGATAGAGAGAACGAGACACATCCCATGTAAGCTAGCATCCTCATTACTGCTAGCTACATTCATTCAGAAATGTGAGAATGTAAAAACAATTCACTTGTTGGAGCATCTTTGATGGTATATCCTTAAACTCAGGTTCACTGCTGCTGAGTAGAGCTGAACAGTATCTGGTGAAGCCGACAGAACATCCCTCTACTGCCCCCTAGTGAAGAAAGAGAAGATGTACTTCAATTCACATCGGTATTTAAACATGCAATAAATAAATAAATAGATACAATAAAAACATTTCACACCCTAATGTAAATTTCTTATGAATTGATTTTCAAAATGTTCATTGCAAAGATGAATACTTCTGTTTGTACAGAAAGACTGGTTGTGTTGAGAAATTCATGGCTGCAGCGCAAGCAAATAATTTGGGGGTGGGGGAATCAAAGAATTTTGATTGCAACTGCGAGAGACACTTGAACATACCCAGTGACGGCATTTGAGGAGAATAAGTCTAAAAATAACTGATGCAGTTTCTAGTTGTTGCTTTGTGAGAAAGCAGGTGTCGGGCTTGGATTCAGAGAGAATTTTCTCCACAAGCGATCCTAAAAAGATCCCTGTTTCCTAATGAGAAGAACAGAAATAAACGCATGAGTATTTAAAAGGAGTACAGTATTAAAATGCTAAATTACCACGAGGTTGTGTTGGTACCTTAAGTGACACCCAGCAGCAGGTGAGAACAAGGCTGTGTTCTTCAGACAACAAGACACACTCCTCACCGCCATCTACGAGGTTGTCTTCAGATGCGTGGGCTATCAGAGAGCTGATGGCATTTCCCATATCACAGAAAGAAGGGGGAGCATCTAAAGGAGAAATCATTTCAGATTGTAAAGGGCGCCTTATCCTTTAAGTGAAAACTCAAACCTGCTTTTTTTAATTGAAGATTACCACTTTCCGTTTCCTGCTGTCCGTGCAACATGCCAAGCAGAAGCAGCGAAATGTTCTTCAGCAGGCTCAGCAGATCAGTGATTAGTGTAGAATCAAGTGAATCAGAGATGCTGCATCTGTCGTCCAACAAACATTTCTGCAGGGCGCTCAGAACCCCTGAAACCAAAGTCACAACGGATTGAAATTAAAAACAAAACAAACAAAAAAGAAAAACGAATGAAATGGTGTTCAACTTTTACGTTTCGACGGACCGTGCATAGGCTTGGTTCTGGCAGAGAGCATTACATCTGCTTTGGCTGTGAGGTAGTGATCCTTCAGCTCATTCACAAGGAATCTAGCAAAGCTGGAGGCCTTGATGTTATGTACGCTGCTGGCACCAGCACTGTTTATTTGGCATTCAGGAAGGCCTTGCCATCTAAAAAACAAAAGAGTTGATAACTACCAACCAGTGCTTTACACACTCTGAGGGAGGGACAAGCAAAAGCACATCTTGTATGTGCACTCATGGGGTACATTCGGTAAAATTGCACCAACTAATAACATCCAATACAAGAGATTTATGAATCATACTTTAGACAGGTATTAATTTAACAATATGTTTATGATTGTGGTTGGAGCAGCTGTGTGAAACTCTACTGCAATGTAATATTAATATGATTGTGACGTCCAGTCAGATTTATTTACAAAGCCCTGAGGAACAAATGAGTCTCAAAGGTCATTATAGGCCCACAGTGGAAAAATACTAAAGTCATCCCCGTATCTAACCCAACCCAAGAAGTTAAAGGGAAAAAAAATGCCACATGGGCGTGCAAGAACATGTTAACTAGAACAGCATAAAAGTCCATTTAACAGGACTATGTGTCGCAAGAAGACACCTTTGGGGAAGTTTTGTCACCGTACTTGGCTATATGGCAAGCTAACATTGCACAAATGATGATATGCAGCACAGTTCTACGCAGCCAGAATTTGGGTACATATCCTGTGTCGGATGTCATTATACGGACCGGGACTACATAATAATCCTTTGGGTGGTATGACTTACTTGTGATGGAGGACCTTCATCATCAGCGCCCCCATCTGAGCCTGCTGGACCCGAGGACTGCGCAGAAGCTGCTTGGTACGAACGAGCAGAGCCGCAGCGACATCGGCAGGCAAAACAGAAGGGAAAAATCTCACCAATAATCCTGCGGAAAGTTCCCGAATCTGAAAAAGGAAACATTTATTGGCTTCTCTTAATCTGAGAAAGAGAATACAAATGAGGCTTGGGCAGCTCTACTTCATTCGTGGAATCTTCCAAACAGCTGATGAGGACCAGCAGTTTTTCTCTGGAGAAGAAGTCCCACTGTCCTCTTGACGTGGCGCAGGTCAAGAGAGATCCCATGTCCACTGGAGAAAACAAATCAAGGAATAGGAATGAAAGCATTCAGAGTACTATATACCAATAAACCAAAATAACATTTTAAACAGCTAGGATTCATCCACCCATTATCCGTGGATCTTATCTTCATGAGGGTCAGCTGTCTTCAGGTAGGAGGCGGGGTACACCCTGAACTGGTTGACAGCCAATGGAAGGGCACACATAGACAAACAATCATCCGCGCTCACACTCAAACCTTGGGACGATTTAGAGCTTTCCATTAACTTGCCATGCATGTTTTGGGAATGTGGGAGGAATCCGGAGGAAACCCGTAGAAAACCCACACAGGCACGAGGAGAACATGCAAACTCCATTTGAATTATCTTTACTTTTGTTGTGCGCACTGTCTCTTTTATCTCAAGCTAAGGAGCAAATAAGGGCACAATCAAGTGTGAGGGACTCCCTGGACCAGGTTATGCCTATCTGTGTGTGCTACCTACTGGGACTGTGACACACTAATCTTTTTGTACTCGAGTCTCCTGTCGATTCTTCCATCCATTACTTTGAAGAACAATATGAGACATCAGACGTGACCAAATCAGGAACTAAATCTTAATTTTTGTTCATTTCAAAATCATGTCCTGTTTTAGAACATAGGGATGGAAATTAAAATCTTTTTTTATCTGATTCATTGAAAAAGTAATCAACACATTAATGGATTATCAAAAAAAAAAAAAAAAACTAATTTGTAGCCTTAATAAATTCACACACAATATCACACACAGAGTCTGTATTCACTTATTTCTGCAGTGGAGGGGAAACAGGGAATTACTTAACCCTTAAGTCTCGTGGGGGCGTGGGAGGGGGAAAGAAAGCGAGAGGGAAAGAAAGCGAGAGAGAGAGAGAGAGAGAGAGACAGAGAGAGAGAGAGAGAGAGCGCGCACTGCCCTGTACTGCCGTTAGACAGACAGACAGACAGATACCACAGAACGACAGATCGATAGATAGAAGGATCGATCGGCATGGATACCTTATTGATCCCGTGAGGGAAATAATATTTTATAAAATTGATACAACACAGTGCCCATTACTGACCGGGTGGCTGTCCCTTTCTCTTGTCAGGGCTCCAAGTGTCAGTGCAGGTCTCCAGCAGTGCAGACAGTAACAGTAAGACAGTTTTCTTCCTCTGGTAACTGTGATTTGGTGTCAAGTTGCAGCATACCAGTTGGCTCAACCAGTCCACAAAACCTAGGACAAATATATTAAATAAAAATAAATAAATAAATAAATAAATAAATAGATGGTAAACGCGCGGATATTTTGTGATTAGGCAGACCTGTGGCAAAACAATGCAAGATTTGCATTAAAATTATTTAAATACTATGGTACAATCATGTCAGTTTGCCAAGACTTTGCAGGAATTTAACTGACAGATATTTTTATTCCTATTATTAATTAAATTAATTGATACAATTCAAATCAAACTCTCATGCTACCATGAATGCTTTGTTTGATTTTTGTTATTCAATGGCAGACGTCAGTATTTTTGACTTCCGATCTCGTCTTCGCAATATTATTTGCCGGATTTGTCTTAAGTGTCATTGAAAGTGTAAAATCAAACTCGACGAAAATCCAAAAGATTAAAACGTTTCAACCAAAGTATAACATTGTTAATCTTTGTCAAAAGGAGTCTCGAGGCAACTTAGTATAGATTGCTGGGCTGCAAAGCATCATCTGACAAACAACAAACATCTCACCTATTCCCAAGGCGAGTATTTCCTGTGAGCTTTCCATCTGGCTGCTATTCCCTTTGCCCCTTTGTTGTTTGATGTGCGCCAAGCAGCCATCTCTGATCCGAACCAAAAATCTCCTCACCGCTGCTTGAAAATGTTGTCGGAAAAGTGAGGACTCTGAATTTAAGTTCTGAGGAATGAAGGTTCTCATTATTGACAGTTCCTCTGGTGTTGGAATCTCTTTGGTCTTGAGGCTGCAACACAGTAGGTTGAGGGCGGCAAGTCGAATGTTGTCATCAGCAGAGCCCAGGGCGAGTTGGAGGATTTTCAGGGTAGAGCTCCCCTGCAGAACCCAGGGAGAACTCCCAGTCACAGCCCGGTAGCTACTCATGATGAATGCCCAGGCACAGAGGTGGCCTGGTGAGAACGGGTCCAGGGAGGCCAGCAGAGGCTCCACAGCAGAGGGGAAGACTTGGAAGGTGCAAGGGAGTAAGTGCGTTGAGCTGTTGTTTTGAAGAATAACTATATTTGAGGTCAGGGCCTCAAGGAGGACAGGAAGCCATCGTTCTGCCCACTTATTGCCCAGATCTGACTCTGACGGTGCCTTTAGAGTGTCGCCAGAAAGCTCTTTTCTCTGCTGCTGGATCAGACACTTGTAAAGTTCCGACCCGCATGGAGACAGGTGATCATTTGACATGCACTTCAGGAGGTGATTTGGTATTTCAGCATAGTGATCCAGCACCTGCTTGATAAAAGGGTTGTGCATTAAAGGCCAGCGCGATGTTTCCAATGGAAAAGCATTCGAGCTCACCGTGTCAGTCCCCAAATACGGAAGTAGAGCGCAGAGGCGATGGTACTTGGCTTTGGATTCCCACGGGAGTTGGATAATTCGATGAAGTAGAGTCAAATAAAGAGGCTTCTTCGTGTGACCAAACTGCTCACAGTCCATGTCGTAGAAGTCCAGCAACAAGCTAAAGGTAACACGGGCACAGTCGGACACGCCTTCCACCTATCAGGGCACATCAAGACAAGCGTCTATAAGAAAAAAAAAAATTATATATTACACTCCTTAATGTGTATACACAGACACACTTCTTCATCAGCGATCCCATTCGAGCATGTTGGACTAAACTTGAATTTTTTTTGAGGTGGTAGTTGGTGTAAAAAGTTTGAGGACTACTACTTAATATCGTCACGACATAGATTATATCATAGTGTATATCTATATGATGCAGTTCAGTTCTACACTACTAAACTTCAACTACAGTTATAAACAAAGACTACTTCTATGCTAGTGTCAATCAAAATTGAGCATGAAAACAGTGGATATGGTTCTTGGGTCTCATTAGATTTTGCAGGAGTACCTGATGTTGTGACCCAGTGAGTACATGTGTGTGAATTTGGGTCTATTTGTAGGATACACTGAGACTGACTATTGGGTTTGGCTACGAATGTACTCATTTCAACCACAGTACATTTCTTGTGGGATTTTAGCTATCCCCCCCCCCCAAAAAAAAGACAATGATTTTATAGATTTGTGTAGGAAAGAAATATTAATTTAATCACTAAAATTAAATACATAATACACACTACAAATAATGTAAAACGATACCAATAAAGTAGTTGAACTCACTGGACTTTCAGCACTGGTCCAAATAACAGAAATGAGCTTTTGCTGCAGGATGCTGTCATCGGGCAGAAAACGGCCACCCGTCATCTTCCAGATATCAGGCAGACATTCTTTGACCTTCTTCAGCCACAGTGTGAACACTGCAACCACGTGTCATGTTTGAACAGGTGATCTTTGCATGGAAGCACGTGAATAAAATGTCTTGCTATGACTCACCCTCAAACGCAAGGTAGTGGCAATTCAGCTTCTCTTCACACAAATCATAAAGTAGAGGAAACAAAGCATCCAGCAGTAAACTGCCCTGCAAAGACAACTAAGCATCATTAGGTAAATAAAGTCAACATGTCTCTCGGCTTAGGTGAATTATGCTGGCCTACAGATTTACCTCTGCGCCCTCTGCACAGGAACTGAGCAATATGTGAGGTTGACAGCATGTGAGGAGGCCCCTGCTCATTGCCAGCTGACCCAGTGCGCCTCCTGATGTGGGGCAACACTGCACCTGAAGGGCACCCACAGTCAGCAGCCAGGGCTCTTGGGAAAGAAAACATTGTTAGAAACCGCTGAGCAGCTGCATGGAGGTATAGAATTTCTAGATGAGATTGATACAAAAATAAAATAAATAGGAGTGAATTTTACAGCACTTCACGACGGACTACACAGCGAGTCCAAACAGGATATGGCTGGTCAGCAGCGATACCGTACCTAAATGAGAGCTCTGGAAAAGACCCCAGGCAGCTGCTGCACCTGCGCTGCTCTCTGATGCCGTGTTGATGAGCATGGCCATGGCGGTCCCGGCCAAAAGACGAGTGTCTCTGCTGCAGCTCTGCGGGACACAAATGACAAGGAGGGAAGAAAAGGAACCAGCGCATACAGGACACTGATTGGATCCTTCATTAGTTTTCACTTGCATTATCTAATGAGATCCAAAACAAGTTCAGTATTAAATCCATTTTACTGACACTCAGAGAGGTATTCATTGATCAAGCCATTTGTTACTGGGGTGAAAGTTTGTAGTGGTGTATAATTGGACTGCATCCCACTGAGTAATGTTTCACATTCACAACACAAGGCTCCTCACATGTAGCTAAATAGCATGAATGCTACACCACGGCAAAGCACAAATACAAGAATGAAAACATAATAAAAACAACAGACTTTGACAAAACTAAAGATGGGTCAAGGAAGAAGAAAATGCCATTATAGTGAGTGAATTCAGGCTTTAAATAATTGACAGCAAAATTAATTAATAACAAACCTGTCCAAATATTATTTCTGCGAGAACCTGCAAGATTTTCTTCATGGCTGGGCTCCTCTCCTTTTTTACCCAAACTGCAAAAGACACTTCTCTAGACAAAAGCTGAAATATCTGGAGGCAAACCTGCAGAGATCACATATTGGGGACAAGAGGACGAGCTGTGATGGAGGTCACAGATTCTGTGCATTTCCGAAAGTATACTCACCTTGACAGCCATGTAACATAGCTGCCCATCTCGCAGTGGCTCTTGTTGCACTATTAAAGGGAAGAACTTCGCCAATTTGTCCAGAAAGGCAGGACAAAGCTCCCGCCACACATCACGGCCCACAGAGCTAACCTCCAGGAACATACAAGCTAAAAGTGTAAATAAACGATAACATTATAACAACTTGTTCAATCTAAAGATATTGAAGAATTTAATCAATTATTCCGTCTCAACTAAGATACTGTTACGAACGGTCAATTTTAGCTTGAGTGACTACATGAACAACAGCTCTCAGTATGATGCAACTTCTGTGATCAGAATCAGTGATGAGAATGAACAAAATACAAATACAGTACTTTATTGCTGCGCACAGGTAACTTCATTTGTGATTTTTCTTTTAGACAAACGTCTATTGATAATCCCTACATATGAAAAAAAAAGCTATGTACCACCACTACTACTACTGCATATAAAATGGCAGGCAAATGTATCAACATAATGAACACAAACCTCTCTGAAGGTGTTCATGAGAGAATATCTGGAAAAACAGAACGGTCAGCATTAACCCGTGCAGCTTTTGTAAATGTCAGCAAAGTTTGTACGGAAAATGTTGGCGTGTACCTGCTCTGAGTGAACTATAGAACTCAAACAGGCGTGGATCTCTCCAAACACCAACTGATGATCCACTATCGCCAGACACTGCAACATCTGTAGAGAAGCAGGAAACATGAGTGAGATAACATTTCTATTTCAACAGCAAGCAGACTGCATACTGCGAGAATCGACCTGGTCTACTTTTCTACAGGCTGTAGATATGTGCACCATCTGAAGCTGCAAGCAGACGAGAAGTCTGACTACAAGCTCAAGGTGATCACGCGCCAGCACATGTAGATTCACCGTCTTCAACAGTTGGGCAGCCTCGTCCAAAATGCGCTCCTTGGTCCTTTTAACGTCGCTCCTGTTCATATTGGGTATATCGGGGGTACAATTAATGCCATCTCCAAGTCTGCGAATAGTCTCTTGACAGGAAAAAAACAAACCTGGAGCACTCCGAAAGCTTATCGAAAACGCGCTCGAGCTTTGGGTCCTCGGCGATGACACAGTTTTGTAGACTTGTCAGAAGTTCATCAAAAGACATAATTTCAACGGTCACATTCGCAGCACACATGGGACATGGACAGCCGTCAGGCTGGTTTAGCCTCAGTACGTCTACTATCAGTTAGAAAGCTGCCATTCTGGTTTTACAGTGACTTACTGCCACCTGGTGGACGGAGTGTGCAGGTTCTCTTACATGAACCGAGCCGGAACAGGGATAGAATGATCGATACATGTGGTGTATTAACCACTGTGATTATTTGTATACTGTTTGGATTCATACTTTGTAATAGCGTTACCGTTCCCTCTTATGTTTGATATGTATGCAACTCTCGATTTGTAAGACAAAACATGAAACGCGTGTATCAGCCTCTTATTTAAATACACCACAATACTGTGCAGTATATAGATGGAACTACAAACTACAACTGAAACAGAAAAGGTATGCAACTGAAACGAGAAAGATTTTCTTTATGAAGTGCTTTTAAATTCGACAGTCTCAATCAAAACTGCAAATTATGTTTTTTTTAGGCAGAACGTTTTTATTTTGCATTGGACCTCGTTATTCTAGAACAGAATAACTGAGTGTACCTCCGGTCACATTACTAAAACTGTAAGCTAAGTGGGAAAGGAGGGGTGTTCTGTTTGAAGATTAAACAGGGGTGGAATAAAAGGAATGAGTGTAGAAATGTAATGTGTGTGCATGGTGTGCACCAGCGTCACCATGGGCGCTGAGAAAGTGAGAGCAGTTTGCTCACACGCACAGCTTCGAGGGTATATTGATGATGATAATAGTTTTAGTCAGTATTGAGGGCTAAACAGACACCCTGAAGCACCCAGTGGGAGAGGTGCTCATTGGTGAACAAATTAGCCTCAAAAACCAAACCCACACCCGTTGCATTTCTCCGTAATGATGTAGTATACACCGGTGTCCGCAATGTATTCTGTGAAGAAAAACACACAAACATTTGTTGGGAAAACAATAAATGAATTGACACACACAACATGGACTGTGGACCATACCTGGAACCTGAGACGTTGGGTTTCTATGGGTATGACTCTGAGAATAGGCAGTTGAACTGCAAGAACTTTTGGTTTACTCTTCACCAGGCAGCCCATTTCCATGTCCCAGTCTGCTCCTTCCAGGTACAAACCAGAAACAAAGAAACCTGCAAGTAAAACTCCTAAGAATGAGCCTCGACAATTTGATGAGGGACACTCGATCCAAAGGGTTTGAGTTCATTACCCTGCGCAGGTCTGTCACTGACTTCTTCCACTTCACGGTAGCGGGTCACCTCAGTGTAAAGTGTGGAAAGATCCAGAGGCCAACCATTTTTTCTGCATGCAGCTTGAACGAGGGCAGTCAGGTAGGATTCTGGGATGTGGAGTCCTGATAACCACATGACCTTTGGCTCTGCTGAATCCACCTTTTGATAAACAAAATTGTCCAAAAAAAAGTGTATGACACAAATGTACATGATGTCATGCACAGCATTCCTCACCCATGATTTATATTGCTCAAATCGCCTCTTGAAATGTATCATCCAGTTGCCCAGGGACTTGAGGGTGTCAGGTGCCAACTTCTTCCAAATAGCAGGGATCTGACCATTAAAAAGGGCCCGGGCGACTTCGTCCAGCTCACTGCTCATGCCCACCTCACCAGCTAAGGCCTACACACACCGGACAATTAAAACCATAGTAAGTCAATGAAAGACACAACAACGCTGTGTCCCTCTTTCTCACCCTCTGCAGCTCAGCCAGAGACCGCTTCATGCGGACCACGAGCTTGTTGAAGCGCTCCAGTTCTTGAAGGAGCACCACTGAAGTAGGGGAGATATCTGTGCCAAATTGCTTGCGGATAACATCCAGGTCAAATAATGCGGGCAACTTGTTCTGAATGCCCTGGGCCACCTGAGTGATGTACTCATCCCTACTGATGCTTCCACCAGACTCACCTGAAGCAGAGGAAAGTGGTTGTGAAGCGGCAAAGCACCACAGAAAACAACTGAAGCAAATGGAAGAAGACAACCATGACTACATACCCGTCTGTGGTTGGAGGTCGATGAGATGCAACCACATGTCTTTAGCTGCTTGTGTGTAGTATCCCATCTCTGCATTGGAATGAAGACCCATCACCTCGGGGGTGTTTGCTAATGGCAGAGACTCAATCTCATCTGTAACCAATGCCAAGTTATGAAGGATAACAGTAAACTATTTATAGCAAAGTAAACATAGGGATGTAATAAAAAACTGACCAATATAAACATCTGTGGGTCCATTTAGAGGAATCCTGTAGTCTACCTCATTGTTTTTGAAAAAGTGGAAATGGCAAAAGTCATAAAAGAGGAAGTCTCCAAAGTACTCATCCATGTAGACAGTCAGGATCCTGCGGTCAAAACTATCAATGACTCGTCCACCATACATCACCTGTGAGATGTGTAGAGAATTGAAATTGCAGCAGTACTCTATGATGTGTTTTAATCTCACAAACTAACCTCGCCTATAAGGTACTTAATACTCCCCCAGGGGATGTTGCTCTCTTTTTGGTTGTGAGCTTTGGTCAGGTAGGTGTTCAAGATCTCCAAACACACCTGTTGAGCACAGTTGCAGCACAGAGGGAACTCGACCCAGTCCAGATGGGTCCAAAGACTTCTTCGTACCACTTACCAAGAAGTCTGATTCGCTAAAGTCATAAGGGACATTCCATCCAATTTTGCCATACTTGCGCCTCTCTTGCACCACGGCATGGAAGAAAGACAGCACGTACACCAGGCTGCGGAAGGCAGAGTGTGGGCATCCAGTCATAGTCTCGTGGGAGATTTTCGAGTAGGTGGCTCTCATGTTGAGCTTGAGACCATTTGGAGCCTCAGTGACAACCTGCAGTGCATGGCAACAGAAAGGCATCACTGAAGTGAAACCATTTAGGAAGTAGGAAACCAGTTCATGTGCCAGATATTGCAAAAAGTAAAGAGAGCGGGAATCCCACCTTAAGAGATTTTTGAAGAATGCCAATGGGAAAGTCATCAATCGGGTTGGTGGTCAACCAAAGACGAAAATTGGGGTGAGGTTTGGTGACCCTCTCGATGCACTTCTCCAAATCTTTCAGCCATTTCACCAGCAGGTGGCAGTTCTGGAGCATCAGCCACTGACCGCGAGCCGCTGCCAGCTCCAGAAGGTGTAATGCAACCTTGTGGGGTGGGGCAGGAGGGGATGGGGTTGGTGGGAGGTTTGAAAGGGGATAACTTTACCTTTCACATGCTTTTTTACCTCTCGAGTTTAAAATTGAAGAGTTCTATTGCTGACATGACACTGTGGCCAAAAACTGGAAATATGGTGCATGTTCAATTATTTAATATTTGCTGAGAATGAAGAGTAATCATCTTCATGATTCCCGATCTCTTATTAGTTCCAACATTGATTGCAGTCTCCGTCACCTCATGTAGCATGTTTAGTTCGCAGTTTTAACGGTTATGTTATTTTATTTCGGTGATAGTTACTTGCTTCGTCTCGGTTGTTCAAGCCTTTTCTTTGTTTCTTCCCGTTTTTCCTGTTCCCATTTACACCGCTTCAAGTCTAACCGCTGTCGGATTTGTTTGTTATTTGGTCTTTATTCTGGTAAAGACGTGTTTTATGAATGTTCTGACGTGTTCTCTCGTATTCTTATATTGACACGATGCTGTTGGAAACAGCCTGTTTTACAGTGATAACACAGGAGGTTCATAATCTTGGAACCAGCTGATTGTCAAATGTTTTACACAAGGACCAGAAAGGATCGTCTGGGAGGTAAAAGAGGTCCAACCATAAAATTTCATGTTTTGCATTGTGAGATGGCCATTCTACCCCGCACCCATTTCATATACAGTAAGGCCTTCTCTGAGTGATAAAAACAAAAGAAATTAAAAGCATGTTACCTTTTCTTGGCCTTGGCCCATAGCAAGGAACTTGAACTTGCCCCGAAAGCCAGTCCTGTCAGCCAGTTTCATGAGGTCAGCGCCAGGGTCAGAACCAGGGCTCAGGATAAAGACGATAGGGGAGAACTGTGTGCTCTGCTCATAAATAACATCAAAACTGATCACAGGAGGTTGAACATATCTGTGAAGAAAGATATGAAACATATTTCATGAACAAGAATGTCACTTCAGTTGAAACAGTTAGCATAAATACAGTCGGGTTGAATTTTTTTGGAAGAAATGAAACAGAAAGACACCTCTCGCCCATGGTGAGAGTGACGTAGTCGGTGATGCCTCTGTAAATTCTGTCAACACGGAAACAGCGCAGCAGGAGCAGCTTCTGAAAGTCTGTCAGCTTGTCATCGTATTTCATTGGCAGCGGAGCCTGTTCCGGCGCGTCAAGGTCATACCACTGTGAAGAAACACAAAGAAAGTCAGACAGTCGAGTAGGTGAATGACAGCTCGTGATTTATGTCATCTATGAGTAGCCACAACTTACTGATTGCCACTCTGATGAATTTCTACTCATATCATCGGGCAAAGATTCAAACGTCTCAGGAAAAAGTTCAGATAGTTTCACGACATCTTCCCAGCCAGAATCAGGAAGCCAGTTACAAGTCTTTATGTAAAAACTCTTTTCCAAAGACAGATTACCTTTGCACAAGAGAAAGACAGTCTGCCGTGAGTGATCACTGTGAAGTAATGTAACCCTTACGTTTATTATGTACGTCACCTTTGATGAAAAACTCCAGTTCCTCCTGAGGTACTCGACCTTCTGCCTGCTCAATCTTGATGGTGATGATGAATGAGAAGAGAAGCTTGTGTTTCTCAAACAGACCTGTGAAAAGAATCATCCCTGATTATTGTATGATTTTTAAAAAAGAGTTAATGTGAAACAGATGTGGTTTACCTGTGCAGCCATAATTATAGACATTGTATGTCAGACTGTTCATGATGTTATTCAGTCTTGAGGGCAGAGCAGAACTTTGTGGAGACTTACGCAGGGAAAAGTCAAACACTTCCAGATAAGAGGCGAGAGAATACTGGTACATGCTGTTTACCAGAGCCATTTCTGTCAATGCAAAGAATAAAATAGCACCGCGCTTGGCAGCTGGTCGGTAGCCGTTTCGGAGCACGTCAATGTCCACGGATGTCGTCACAGCCAACTTAAGCTTCT